GCAGGTAGGGGCTGGAGATGCAGCCAATGGCAAAGCGCTGTGTGAGGTCCTGGGTTCAATACACAGCACTGGGGAAAGACTAAGAAAATAAATAGATACTATGAGTTGTTTGTAATAGCATCACTATTTCTCAATTTAAATGTTGATCAATAAGAAAATAAGTAAAGTATATATTCACATCACAGACTGTTATACTGCACTAAACATGAATGATAATTATTTTCACAATATAAATAAATTTTAGAAACATAATATGAAAAAAACCAAGTACTGGATGACAATCTACAGTCTGACATAATTTTTACAAAGCTCAAAAACAAATTTAAACAATGTATTATTGAGGCAAACAAGGGATGATAGCATAAAATTCAAAATAGCTATTTTTCATCATCTGAGGAGGGAGAGAAGTCTTGGAGACGGGAAAAGAAGATCGGTCAGTTTTAACTTAGTGATCTTATGTTAGTTCGTAGATTTACTAATTAGCATGTTTTATAAGCTACAATGATGTTATATATTAAATAAAAATTTCCCCAGTACTGGGGACGGAACCCAGGGCCTCCTTGCTGAAATATACCCCCAATCCCTTTTTAAAATGTTTTAAATTTTGTGAGCCGGGTGTGGCTTTATGCCTGTAATCCCAGCACTCAGGAGGCTAAGGCAGGAGAATCACTATGAGGTCAAGGCTAGACTAAGCTACATAGTGAGTTCAAGACCAGCCTGAACTATATGGCAGGATCCTGTCTCAAAAAAAAACAACAAAAAAATTTTTTTGAAAACTTATGAGACAGTCTTGCTAAGTCATTAAGTTGCCCTGGCTCAAGCTTGCAATCTTTCCACCTTGCATGTGTGATACCACACCTTGCTGAAATTAACAATTTTGTAGATTAAAAAAAAAGAAAATCAAATACTGGCACTTTCATACAGTGTAAAACGAATACAAGTGATTCACTAATAAAAAGGAAAAAATTTAGTAAGACCTGCTTGTTTAAAATTTGAAAAAAATACATTTTCTCAGGCTATGAGGGATATTCTGTTTCGGAACGGATGTTTTAAAAGAGTATATTTTACGGATGTTTTAAAAGAGTATATTTGTGTCTGGATATTTCACATTTGGAATTTCATATTTCATATGACATTTCCTGTTTCAACTTTAACTGCAACATCACAAAGAGGCACTGGAATCTTCTACCTGTCAAAAGCAGAGTGAAGAGGGGATCTTTATTACTAACAGCTATTTGCTTCAATATAAATAACTGAGATAGTTCAATAGGAACTGAGAATTTTATCAAGATTTTCTGTGGTCCAAATTATTAAAGAGAAAATTAAAGTGTAATTTAACTTGTTTTTGAGTCTCCTTCCTTCACTGCCAGAGAAAACACCGTCAAGTATGCTTTGGAGAGCCCTGCTTCCTTGGGTGAGTGGCACACAGCTCCACTCAGGTAGTGCAGCAGACTAGAGGTGGGAAAGAGAGATGGTGTGGCCCTGACATTAATTTGCTGCACAATGTTACGAAAAATTACCTGACCTCCTGAGGCACTGCATCTCTCTCTGTAACATGAAATGAAAAAAACAGCTAATCTAGCTCAAAGGATTGTGATGAGGGATAACTCAGGAAATGCTTTGAAAAGCTCCAACATAAGTTAATGAGACAAAATCAACTTGCAAGATCTGCCACATTTCCTAATAGTTAGACAAAACATCACCGAGAACCGAAAGTGAACCCAATGTGGCACATTTCAAATTAGACCACATATTCAGTATTTTCAATTTGCAATCTAATTGTATTTAACATTTAAAAAGAGTAATAACACTGAAATAAAGGCCAAACACACAAACATGTGATACTGTCTTTCACCTCAGAATTTCCTCTGGTGGCTTCTGCAAGTGCCAAAACGTCCTTGAAACAACTGAACTTACTGCATCAGGACAGCACAGAAGTGCCTGGGCCACAGGCTGAGGAAGGAACAGAACACACGGGCACTCGTAATCTGAAATCCATGTGCATATCACCTTCATAAATGCCTCTAAATAACAAACAAGACTACCCAAGATGTAAAAATGATTAAAATAACTTGTTTACAAATAATCCATTGATAAGAGGAGAAACAACAGGCCAAAGGGATAGAACTTGCATAAAAAAAGGATATAGCTCTGAGAAGTGCTAAGAACTTAGATGAGCTGCAGACATTTTTGAAACCCACACATCCAGTACACACCCCACGCAACCGTCTTGCAATGCTGAATGCTACTAAGTCCACAGAGAGCCTTGGAACAGAAACGAGCCTCACTAGGCACCAGCCCAAGCATGAGAAGCAACACTCAGCACCTGTGGCCAACTGAGAAGTGAGAGGAACAGATGGCACACCTGGTTCCATGGTAAGAAACTGATGGCATCAGCAGAACCCAGCAGACGCTTTCCTGTTCAACATCTCCTCGTTTCCAGAGTGTCATCTCACTTCCCTTCTAAGTCAGTAAGGCAAATCTAAACTTAACCACAGGATTTCTCCTGAGAGAATTTCATATGCGGAAGTGAAGAGAGCACTGGAACTCAGCCTCAGACTTCACCAGAGGATTGGATTGCCAAGGGAGGGAAGGCCAACTGGATTCTAAACTAGGAATGTCTGCGCCGGGCTTGGGGCAGCTGGAATAGACCAGAAACAGGGGCCGAGGAAAATCTGACACAGGCTGGGTGGCCCGTGGCCCGGAAGTGCTGCGGTGAAGGTTACGGCACACTTTCTAAAACACCAGATGCTATTTAGGGGAGATTTTCTTGAGAACACAGTTTGAAGATTGGCTTTCATTCCCAACAAAATTAGAATTTTTACTATTTTAAAGTTTTTCTTCAAATACAAGTCTCTAAGATAGGTGAAGACTAAAATGGATGCTGTTTATGTAATACCTAACCTCACACAAAAGCAGCTAATTTTTCTCATTTCTTCACTTAGGCACTGAGCACAACCCAAGACTAGCAGGACTTACACTGAATTGGAGTTCGTCACACAGGAAACCACTGCCACATTTTACCTATCTATATAGATCCTATCACTCTAGTAGTTCCTTCTTTTACTTAGCAATTGAAATGGAGAGGGAACAGCTATTATGCAAACCATGCTCTATGTATTCAGAGTGGCATTTTAATAAACCATGCCTGCAACGTTTTATAATCATTAGCAACTACTCGTTCTGCGAAATACAGAGACCTGCTACTGCTGGCCAGGATTCTTCTGCCAAAGGGCGAGAGTCCTCGGGGACACCCTCCTGAAACCTGGTGGTGCTAATATGCCTTTTGAACTGCCATTAGCTCATAGTATGAGTCTATTCTCTGACAGACAGGCTGGCAGTCAGGGAGCTCGCCCGCATCCTCCCGCAGGAAGGGGGAGGTCATCTTCACCATGAGGTGCTGTGCAGGAAGTGTTGCTTCACCCACATACAGAGACACTAGTGTGGACTGAAGGTCCTATTCCTTTATCACAACGTGATCTTATATGTCGGTATGTGTAGAAAACAGCAGGAAACATCAAATTAGTATGTACGGTACTCACTAAGGAACCCACTTTCCAATTCACTGTCTTAGGGTTTTACTTCCCAGCCTCTCCTGTAAACCAGGAAAGGCTTCCTGAATATAGCTAAGCCCTGGCCAGCTCTTAAGTGAGCAAGCTTTACACAGCTTTCACCCTAGAGAAAGTAGTTCCCACTTTCCTGTTTCACAATGACTCCAGCAAGACAAACCAGAGGAACTCAACTACTGATGGGATCACAGAATCCAAAGAGCAGAAAAGGAGAGACCCACTGTCAAACACAGAGATGTCCCACTGATGGGGGCCAGGAGGTTGAAAGAACAGATAAATCGAGCTGCCGGTCACTTTCTTCAGCTTGAAGTGACAGTCCTTCTAAATGCTATTTGAGAAAACCTACAGAGAAAAAGCAAGAATCCCAAGCCAAGCTATCAAAACTGCTAACACTCAGATGGCGTAGTCTGTTTTGATGAAGAGTAACAAGTGGAAAGGTGAGCTCAATCAGTCAGACATAAAACTTGCACAGCAGTACTTTACTCCGGCTTTTTCTCATTCCGTATCCCTGATACACAACATTATCAAGGCTACAGTGCCCATCAAGTGTGGGAATGGCCAGTCCCACAGCAGGGTAAAAGGACTCACCTCGCAGAAGAGGGTAAGTTTGTCATCAGGGAGAAGCCCGTTGGCCTCATCCAGAAGAAAATCTCTACGGATAAATTTTTTGAATCCCCAGTCTTTGCCTTGTACAAATCTATAAGCTCGTTGACTCTCTGGGATGAAAAAAAGGTCATATTTAGGGTTACTCAAAACCAGTTCAAACCTACAACTTGTCTGGGTATGAAGGTGCTGGATGTAAAAGCAGTCAAGCAAGCAGGACACTTACCCATAGCTTTGGTTTCCTCTCCCTTGGCATTCAGAATAGAGAATTTGAATTTTGCCCGAACTTCACTCTTTGGACAGCTGACCAGTAACAGGTAAAGGGACAGGTAATCTTTGCTTTCTTCATCGAGCCCTTTTGGGTTTACTCGTAAACACCTGCCCAAAACAGGTAGGAAAAAACAGGGTTAAAAATACCATAATACATAAGTGAAGTGACAGAATGGACAATCAGAATTAAGAGATATTAAACAAAAAAGAACTCCAGGCCCCGTGCCAGGAATTATGGTTCAACAGAAGAACTACGTGGGAACCACTTCTCTATAGTGAACTGGATCACCTCTTAAAAAGTAAACAACAAAATAAAGGAGCATTCTAGAATCAACAAAACACCTCTTGCACCTTTCCTTTCTCATAATCTCCCAATTCACCCTTTTCCCTCCTAAAATACTTTAAAATTCAGAATGGTCTTGTTATATTCCAATTATCAATCTCATGAAAGGAAGCCCTTAATTTTGTTGGGACTATGGCGAAACCATGAATAAAAAAGTCAACAAACCCTTTACTATCAATGTCCAGAGAAAAAATATTCTCAAGAAATATGTCAACAGGACATAATTTTTATACACATTTTATCAATCTGGCAGAAATATTCTAAGATTTAAATAAAGGAGGCAGTATGGAGGAAGCATAGACAAAAGTAAACTCCCATGACACACTGCAGAGTTCCAAGGCACGTTTCTGAGTAGAGTTAGAGATGCCAATCTGTTACGGGTGAATCAAAACAAAATTCAGACAGAATTAGCAGGTTCAACTGAGTTAAGTTGTGAATGTCATTAGTTGAACGCATGTGGTTCAGACACCGCTTCTGCCACCCAGAATCCATGAGCCATATGTACCCCTAGGCCTTGCCAGTGTCGTGGCACCTTTCTCAGACAGGTGGCTGCATCCAGTGCCTCTCTGGGGAATGCAGATACCACATGCATCACTACATAATATGCTAAAGATGTAGATCTAAATACAATGTCTAAGAACAAACATTTCTCTCAACACATAGTGGAATACACTGCTTACCATACATGTCAACAAATAGTGAATGAATGAAAAAAACAATCATTCAGCAGGTTATCAGAATCAGACTGGTGATTCAGGGATAAGTTTTAAGGGCTGGGGACGCAGCTCAGTGGCAGAGCGCTTGCCTAGCATGCATAAGGCCCTGGGTTCAAGCCCCAGAACCATGAAACAAAGCAGAGGTCAGAGACGTGTTTTGCTGTATGTGGTGGGCATCGGGGTGTACCCTTACGATGCCTGCTCCTCCTCCTCAAGAGGACACATGGTTTAGGTGGGATGGACCCTCCCACTCCCAGATCACAGGCCCTGCACAGGGATTAGTCCCTGGGACCTGGACCTACCCCGCAGTGCACGCGTCACATATTTCTGGCCACACAGCTCTAAGGGAGCTCAGTCTTTGACACAGGTAGGGGTTACAGCCACTGCTCACACAGGGAGGCTAGTGCCTGACATCCAACAGCATGGAGCCTGGGCAGTGGCAGTTACACAGACAAATAAATCCCCTGTATTGCTTGAAAGCAGGGAATTTAAAAGTCAAACTTTTATTTTAAAATCTAAATTTCTTGCTTGTCTTGAAAAACCAGATAATCTGGCAATGGTCAGGTGTTATTCACAGACAGCTGTGGTGGCCAGAGCTTAGAAGCCACCACTCCTTTTAGGATACTTGCTAAGGACGACATAATCACTCCCCTGAACCTGTATGGGTATCATTTCTAATACTGGCCCTCTATTCATTTATACTGCCCTATAACAAGTTTGCTGATCCCTGATACTCACTGAATTAATTCAAAGTTTTAGTGGCACCAGGATACAGTAAGATCACAACAAAATCCCTGGCTTCAAGGAACTTATATTCTAGTCAGTGTCCCATAAAATCAAGCAAAACCAGCAAAATTTTTTTATGGAAAAATGTTTACAGCTTAGAGAGGTGTTCTTCCTCACCATTTCAGTTTATCATTGGCTCCTGATGAAAAGGTTGAACTTTTAATGACTTCACCCATTTCCTCTCGGCAAAAGCTAAAGTTATTGATGGTCCACATGTAGGAGAATTTCACTACTTTGATCTGTTGACAGAAAACCAGGAAGCAATTAAAAGGGAAGTGGACAACCTGAAGAAACAGGCTGAAGATCAGAAAAGCATCTCCCCTCCTCCCAGTCTGTCTAGTCCCCATAGGAAGAGCACAGTTGGGCCAGCGTGGAAGTTCAGTTTTTTGTTGCCTGAGGTCCTTCGTTCACATTTTAAGAAATCTCACAATGACCAATTACTTTTACAAAGATTTTTTTGGATTCTGAGAAGCACTGATGGAAAATGAGAAAAATATGGACAGGATAAACAAAACAACAAAACATGGACAGGGTCAGGAAAGCAAATTGATAATTCATGTCACAGTTTAGGGTTACAAATGTCAAACTCTGCTCCACCAACAGAAGAGCCTTAAACAGGTTTCCGTCAAGGGGGCTATAACAGAATCTAGTTTCACAGATTCCCCACTTCAACCAACACTGAAAAATACCAGCATTAGGGATTCCTATTCCATGTGAAAATCCAAGGAATGCAAGGCTGTTTGGCAGTTATGGCCTGGAGAAAACAGGAAACCCAAAGTAGAAAAGCGATCCTATTCTTTTTGTCCATCAAATCCTTCCAAGGCCAGGCGTGGTGGAGCACGTCTGTAATCCCAGCACTAGGGAGGCTGAGGCAGGAGGATCCTGTGAGTTGAGACCAGCCTGGGCTACACATTGGTTCCAGAGCAGTCTGAACTACAGGGTCAACAAACAAACAAAAAATCCTTCCAAGTCACACGACTTACCTGTGTGTAGCACCAGCTCTCAGCTACGGGGCCACTCGACATTTCTGCCGGAGGTGGAGGACTTGGAACCCTTGACATCGCCAGTTTGAAAGTTAATCAAAGTTTCCAAAGTCACGGGGCAAAGATTTCTGTGCTTTCTTCACCCTAGTCAGACCCAGCAAGCAAAAAGATTTATACAGTTTTGGCTTATTATTCTATTATTTGGTCTTCTAAAGACTGGGAACTTTGTGGACTGCCTAGAACGCTCTAACCTGGTAAAAACCATACTAACTTCAGAGAAATCCACCTTGACAGCCTCCTACTCACGGCCATAAGGCGCTGTGCAATGCTCAATATCCTATCTCCAAATGGACTTACCCTAAGGCTGCTGGAAAAGGAGCCAGTCACAACCTACCTCCTGGCTCCACTCCTCTGGTAAAACGACCCTGTTACCCTCCAGGCTTTCCTGTCTCCTCCCATACTTCCCTGCAAATGCAGAAGGCACCTTCCATTCAAGCCCTTGCTAGCTGGCCTATTGAAGGCAAACATTTTCACACCTTTTTCAGGTGTTTCTGCAGCATTAGCGTCTCCCTACGCCTCTCCTCCTATCACCACCCTATTTTCCAGATTTCTCCTGCTTGCTCTCATTCTCCTCTCTCTCTCTCTGCACTGTTGCTCCCCATGGTTTAATCTTCATTTTCGCAATCAATATGTATTCTCTTTATGGCAATTTTATTCATCTCAGTGGCGTCAAATTTCTGCCCTTAAACAAATATTTCCCAAATCTCTGTCATCTCTCTAATAAACTCCACACCATTTTCAAATAACTGCTACATAACTCAATGGGGGGGTCCCAGCAGCAAATCAAATCCAACACAAAATTCTCTCCTTCAACGCCTTTCTAAATAAAAAGGTCATCTAAAGTTGGTGAATTTGGGGTGGGGGGAACAGGGAACACAGGTCAAAGGGAACCAAGTGTGGACATGCAGAATGTGTACGTCAGGACGCAGTGTACCACATGAGAGCTACAGCTAACGGTACCGTATATACAGTATACTGGGAATCTGCTGAGAGTAGATTTTAGGTGCTCTTACCACAGACGCAGGTGTGTGCATACATAACTATATCAGATGAATATGTTAACTGGCTTGACTGCAGTAATCATTTCACTATGTATATGAAAGTGTTATGTTGTAACCTTCAACACACACAATTCTGAAAATTAATGAATTTGATAAATTTTTAAGCACTATAAACAAACCCAAAAAGGCAAAGGGATTTTATTAATATACAAAAATGATATATGTTGTTTCTATAAAGTCAGTATGAAAAAGGTCAACTATCCTATAGAAAATATTGCTCATAAAAAGATACAAAACAGTTCTTAAACATTTTACATCTATCAGACCAACAAAAAATACAAGTAGGACAAAATGAGAACTCTCTTCACTGGTGGTAAAACTGTAAAACAGTAAGTACATTGTGAATAGGAATCTGTCCATGTTTAGCAAAGCTGAAAGTATAAGAACCCTAACACTTGGTAATCTCACTTTGAACTGCATGCACAGAGCAGGGGTCTCCAGGGTGAATACACCAGAATCACCTCTTCAGCTGACTGCCAGCCCCATCCCCAGAGCTTCTGATTTAGAGGTCTGGGATGGGCCCAAATGGCTGCGTTCCTAACAAAATCCCAGGTGATCCTGACATGCTGGTCCTGAACCACACAAGGACCCTGGCCCTAGAGAAACACTGCATTTAGGACATAAGAAGACATAGACAGGAGTGTTTACTGTGACAATATGTACCAGCAAAACACCAGAAACAACTAAAAATACATTAGTTTGGGAACAGAGAAGTAAATTAGATTATTTCCGTATAATATAAAATCACGTATCAGGATTTAAAATTAATGAACTAGAATACAGCACCATGGGCATCAAACATAGCACTAATTAAGAAGTTCTAGATGTCATGTACGGTACATTATTCATGTACATTTTAAGATTTACTATTATTACAGATATATGCACTCAGCAGAAGGAAAAAAATACTGTTATAGGCTTATATGATTTTTCTCTCTTAAAACTGAGTATTTTATTTAAAAGGTATCATTCTTATGTACAATAAAGTTGGAAAAACTAAAGAAAAAACAATGCTGCCAGACTAGGTATCAGCTTTACGATTAGAAAGGGAAGAAAAGAACTGAGAAAAGAATGTAAGAGTTCAGTTTCTCTCTTACGTTTGTTTTCAAATAAAGATAACATGAGGCAAAATGACAACACAAAGATCTTCTAGCTAAGGGTGACAGGTCCTCGAGTGGATACTATTCTCTGTCCTCCTCTGCTTTTACATATATTGCAGCAATACTGTGAGGATATGTTCCAGTCTAGCCCACGTTATCTGGTTTTCATATAATATCCAAGGGAGAATTTTCTTTCCTGAATATTGGGTTTGTTTTCAACTGTGGATAGACAAAATAAATCTTATAATTGATCTTGTTGCCCTCTTTACCTGGCTACTATGAAGTCATGAGACAAATGTGCGACTCACATCTTAAAACTATAGGCTCATCTTGGACTGGAGGTTCCATTTGACCCAGCCATCCCTCTGGTGGGTATCCTTCCAAGAGAACTAAAAGAATCATATCACAGAGAAGTATGTGCACCCATGTTTATAGCAGCACAGTTTGTAATAGCTAAATCTTGGAAACAACCTATTTGCCCATCCGTTGGAAACTGGATAAAGAAGTTGTGGTTTTTCTATAAAATGGAATATTACTCAGCCATAAAGAGCGAGAGAATAGATTCATTCATAGGAAAATGGATACATATTGAAGATATACTCCTAAGTGAAATAAATAAGTCCCACATGTGTAAATACCAAATAGTTTCCCTGGTGTGAATATTCTGCAACAATGCATAAGATTCTAATAAGATTACTGACATTTAGAAATTGGAAGAAAGGAGCTAAAGGTGTAGGGAAGGTGTGATACGTAGGGGAAGAACAAAAAGGGAAAAGAAAAAAATGTGAGAGAATGAAAAGATGAAAATAAAGTGTTTGTAGATGGGGAGGGGAGGAGGGGGTGAAGGGAGGGCAGAGGTAAGGGGAAAAAATGAGAATCAAGACTTGCCATGTAAAGGTACATGATCCCAACAATGAATGTAACTGTACTGTATCCCTAAAATGTACCAATAAACTCAATAAAATTAAAAAAAAAAAACTATAGGCTCATACCCTGTTATAACTCTGTACCAGCTTATTTTCTTTATTATCCCCTTTTATACAATTCCCCAAACTTTTTTTTGTTAAGTTTTTTAAAAAATATTTTTGTAATCTGCCTCAAATCCTTGGTAGAAAAAGTTATATAAATAACAACAATCATTTAACAATAATTAAACTCATAAATATTTGACTACTTAACAAGCATTAATAAGGATTATGCCAGGTGTGGTGGTACACACCCTCAAGGCCAGCCTGAACTTCAGTGAGACCCTGTCTTCAAAATAAGGGGGAGATTTAATAAGCTATATTTGCACCTTTAAAGGTGCTGATAAATGAAATTAGGTGCTGTTCCCTTGGTCATGAACACCATCCTATGAGCATTTACAGTTAAATTATCTCATGTGACCACAGATAAATTGAACAGTCTCATACGCACTCACTCACGCTAGCAACCTACGTACTGCAATGGCACACGCAAAGCTTTGGTTCATGCAATTCATGGTTCCATTATAACATCAAGAAAAGTGATCAAATGCTACTGTGATCCCCTCCCAAGTAGGCTTACATTTGATGGAAAACATATTCTCACAAAACTGGTTATTTGTCCAGTATCAAGTAAATATAACAGCGTTAAAAATCCCAGTTGCCATTACTGTCCAGAATAAAATTTTGAAATGCTTACTTTTGGGCAAGGAAGATGTGAATTTTACATGTTAGTTAAGAGCATAAAATTTGGCATTGAAGGTATGTGTGTTGCAGGCTCTGTTCTGCACTAAGCCAGCATAAAATACTAATTTGGGCTTCAAGTTTTTAAAAGAACTTTCAAAGATAAAAAAAGGAATCTTCAAATTTTTCTAACAATTAACAGTTTACAATTTTCTACACCCAAGAGAAGCTCAAATTTTTAAAACCAGATAATTTTAATGCTCTAATTGCTGTTACTGAATCTTGGTCCATTATTATAACCAAAGGGGGGAAATACTATTTTGGTCTTGCCATTATTTTCGGCTTCTGTCTTACTGTATAGCTAGCTAAGTCTTTCTCTCTTTCTCTCTCTCTCTCTCTCTCTCTCTCTCTCTCTCTCTCTCTCTCTCTCTCTCTCATGGTACTGGAGATCGAACTTGGGACCTTGCACTTGCGAGGCAGATGGTGGAACCACTGAGCTAAATTAAATCCCCCGCTCCAAGTTTTTCTGTTTTTAAAAATATATGTAACATCACCTATCTTCCAGTTTTTAAAAATGTCCACCCATATGAACTAGAGACTAAGTGGGGACCTGCTGGGAGAGAAATTGACCAGGACAGTACCAGTGTAATTAATTTCTCTCAGAGCGGGCACCACTGGCAAGGTGTTCATCAGCTAAGTAAGTAGCTGGGTGCTACATGAACTCTAGCACTTCATGCCAATCGCTGCAGAAGTCTTTCTCTTTCTCTCTCTCTCTCTCTCTCTCTCTCTCTCTCTCTCTCTCTCTCTCTCTCTCTCATGGTACTGGAGATCGAACTTGGGACCTTGCACTTGCGAGGCAGATGGTGGAACCACTGAGCTAAATTAAATCCCCCGCTCCAAGTTTTTCTGTTTTTAAAAATATATGTAACATCACCTATCTTCCAGTTTTTAAAAATGTCCACCCATATGAACTAGAGACTAAGTGGGGACCTGCTGGGAGAGAAATTGACCAGGACAGTACCAGTGTAATTAATTTCTCTCAGAGCGGGCACCACTGGCAAGGTGTTCATCAGCTAAGTAAGTAGCTGGGTGCTACATGAACTCTAGCACTTCATGCCAATCGCTGCAGATGCCCAGCAGAAAAACAATTTTAGAAAAGAAGAGATCTATTTGAGGGTCAGAGCTTGAGAATCTTTGCAGGAGACTGCTAGAGCCAAAATTTACTGTTTGTAGTTTCAAACAAGCTAAGAGAAGACTGTCCAAGTTCTCTAGTGAGA